AGTTTTTGTAGCTGTGTAGTGTAAACGACAGCAGTAACCATGTGTCTTTGCGGAAGCACAGCTTTGATGTGCAGCACATTCAATGTGTGGGCTTGATGGTGACTCGTCTTCAAAGAGGGGTCGACTTCCGCTAAGTAATGCTCATCAAGTGGGCTTCTACTGTGGTCTTTGAAGGGTTGTAGCATAAGAACGTCGGGTGAGTGGGTATGCTTTTTAAGTAGGGAAGGTGACTGAAAAGTGGGGATGTTCTGGTAATTTGGAAAAACTTCACTAAGTCCCGGTAAGGAAAAAATGGGGGGGGGGGGAATTCACCGAAAATAACCAAGAAAAGGAAATCCGACTTCGAAAGAAAATGCCGGAAATAAGGTTGAACTGGGGTCAAGCGAGGGTGCCTCTACGCTGCGCATCGATCCTCTTGGGCTCACATCAGAGACCTTTCTCAACTTAGCCGGAGACCTTTTATGCTCAATAAAGCTTGAAGAAAAGGTTGAGGGTCAAAGAAGGGGATATGAAACCTAGTACACAGAAACGCAGGCGGGCCTTCTGTGGGTGCTTACAAACGCCTATAATCGAGAGATTGATGCGCGTTTCAAGGCGAAGAGTATACCTCCAGCGGTATAGCATGACTGTGCCCATGCCGCTCGCGCCGTGACACGCCCTTCGTAACCACCCGATGTCTGACTCTGCGGCGCGTTCAGGCCCGAGGATAGGCGTTATGCGGCTCTGAAGAGCGCTGCAGCGACGAGAGTCGCTTCAGTGGCGGGAATATCAAGTGGGTAATGAGGTTAGGGAGTGGTCGATTTTTTGGGTTCTGGGCTGTTTCGTTCTCCAGGTTTTTGGCTTTGCATGGCCGCTGGCACCGAACTGGGACGCAACCGTGCGGCACCTGAGTGGGCTTGCACTCTTTATCGCAAAACTCTACCGTTTCATGGAAAGTATTCTTCATTTTGTTCGAAAACGAGTAGTCGCTCAGACCACTGCACTTTGCGCCCAACGGCAGTCCTCGTCCCCCTTGTCGTCCAATGGGGCAGTTTTACGATTGCTACTGGAACTCAAAGTAAAGCTGTTGAGAGGTGCTGCAGTAACAACAACAAACAGAAAAACCCCCCCCCCCCGATATCCGCGAAACGAGACCCTTGTTGTCCTGTTGACTTTTGGACGAAACCTCTGCGATGCACTCATCACCACGTGAACATCTCTGCTCTGTCTCTCTACCACGCAAGAAGATAAAGTTATGGCGATGAATGAGCAGCTGAGGCAACCAGTTGAAGGTCGAGTAGGGGTGCGACGATGTCCGTAGAAACAGAGTAGTAAGCCTCACTAGGGCCCCCTTCGGTTTTTAAGAAAATGAGACGTAGCAATTCATGGCAAGAAGGGGACTCTGGGGATGCTCTTTTTGCCATGAATGGCCACGTCTCGGTTTCCTAGGAACCGGATCTTTCCGGCCTTAAAGGGACGAATTCACGATCAGAGGGAAAATCGAATTAGGAAGAATTCACCTGGTTGAGGGACCCGCGGAGCTCCTAAGTGTGCGAACTGAAGCACAATTTGCACAGGAGGAGTTGACCTCGTTGACCTATTAAGGTTTAATCCCGCCGCGGCTGGTCAGTGCACGCCCACCGATCATCTGATCACTCGCCGCAGGTCTATACGTGGTGAGTGATTAGATAGGTGAGAGAGCGTAGCGTTGAAGAGGGCACAGCGATGATAGTCGCACAATGCAATGCTCAAGAATCAACGGGCAAGGAAGTGGTCCCATTTCTCAGGTTCTGGGCCGTTTCGCATGGTTTTTCCTTCTTAAGTGTACCACTCACCATCGCTAACTTAATTTGAAATGGGTTGCCTTTTCCAGCGTGAATTCGTCCTTTAAGCAGCGTTCACAGGTAAAAGCCTCCCACCAACATAAAATTCCCTAGTGCGGCCACATGCCTTTGAATGTGAAGTGCCACGAAGGACGGGCCTAGTGCTACCGTATAGGTTGGGTGAGCAAGCGGGCCTCCTCATCATCAAATCATTTTCCACCGTTCGCAGAAAATCGCGGCACAACCATTTTTCCCATCATTCTGGTGATTAGTAAAACGAAGGGGCCAACCGTCGCGTTCGCCCTTTAGATAAAAAGTTTTGCTCAACCTGCCACCCAGTGGTCACCGTGACGCTTGCACCTTTTTTCAGAATTTCGCAGCCCTCCCCTCTTTGAGGGGATCTGGGGGAACCACCCTCGCCAGAATGGCTATTTCTATAGTATTTGATTCTAAGACCACTCGACCCAGCCCATTTCAGGCCACTTTTCCTGCGCCAAGCGGGAGGGGGCGGGGGAGGGAGAAGGGGGGGAAGGTGGGGGAAAAGGGGGATTAATTAGTTGATGAAACGACGAAATAGCCGAAGTTCTATCCTACCCTATCCTAGGCACGCCCATTACATATTCACCGACGCCCCCAAAACAATCTAACCTGAACGCTCCCAATCGCCTCGCCATTCACCCAACCAATTATTTCTCCCACATCACCCCTGAATGCACCCCCCATACCAAAATCGATATACAGATGCGACCCCTAACGTTCTCGAAAATAGTGCACGCAACGGTTGACGGCTGCCTCCAAGCCTCTCCCCTCCACCCCCCATCCACGATAGGGCTGCCATAGTTAGCGAGGGGGAGTCCCTTCCTCCTCGGCCGTCAACTTGTGCCTCCCTTTCCTGTTCCGCATGTGCGTTCGATTCGTGAGGACTAAATGAGTGCGCTAGTATCGAGACCACGGTTTTTCCTCCAGAGCAACCGTTTGGGACGCCTAGGAGCGGGACCTGGTCTAATGAAGCAGAAAATTTTCAACCGTCGTCGAAAAACCCTCAAAAACTGGTCAACTTTGCTCAACCCCAATTCCATCCCCTCTGCATCTGGGACTCCTTTTCCCAGTAGCGTCGGGAGGGGAGGGGGTCGATGGCGCACCGAACGGATCACAACAGATCCTAACCCACGGTCAACCGTGCTTTCGCAATATTCGAACCAGGGGGTCGCATTAAGGGCGGGGGGGGGTGAGTGGGACCTATTAATTAGTAAACGTAAGATGGGTTTTGGAGGCTTGCTTTGCGTGAGTGTATGGCCGTGTGGCGCAGCCACTAATGTAACCCCCTGCACGTGAACGGATCTCGTTTTGGCAGTTGAGAATGGGTGGGTTGAGTTGTGTGGGCTGGTCCCAGAATGAAATACTCTAGAAACGCCCATGATGGTGAGGTTGATGGTCGGGGTAGGGAGAAGGGTGATCGTATTGGGGGAGCCTCCTGAGTCTCTGAGTCTCACGGTGATGGAGGGAGCTTGCAAGTTTTTGAAAAAGTAGCGAATGTCGATCCCTAATCCGACACGGGCCGAAAGTAGGCTCGTAAGCCCGCAATTGGTGTGAGGAATTTTGCCGCTTAGAGTTGGTGGTGGTGATCGCTAGGTGGGCTTGGTATGGGGCAGAATGTTCGGTCAATGGTACTTGATTTATTGTCAGATGTCGTGTCATGCAAAAAGATGTGGTAATGTGATTGAAAAATCCGCAGTGTAAGAAGAGGAACACAGCAAAAGGGCGGCGCAGGGGCTATTACAATCAGCCAAAAAACTATTTCAACTTTTTCACCTTTTCCTAGGGGATCCTGTGATTTTTGGCGAGGCTTTCTCTACACAATGGAATTCATAGGAAATTAAACGAAGTCGAAAAGACGGTTTCCCAGCTGCAAAGTTTCTGATCCATGCGCTCCTTTTATGGTTAAGCTGGGCCATTACGTCGTTGAAATCCTTCATTTTGGAAGAGTCTTCGACAGATTATTTTACAGAGGTCTCGACATTGTCTCGAACAGTGTCTCAGGTGGTGGGGGGGGGGACTCGCCACTGCTGCTTGCCATTTGCTTTATAAACTCTGTGCTCGGTGGGACTTCTATTTACTTTTCTGCTGGTTTATAAATGTCAAAATAAGCTCAACCGGAAGCATTGTCACTTCCTACAGCGGCTGGGAAGGGGGTGTTTCAGGTCCTCCTCCTTGGGCCAGGTCACCTTAAATCAAGACATCACTCATTTGCACAAAGCAAGCCTAGAACTAACCATAAGCCTAGGCCCCTAGGATTGAGGCATAAGCCCAATGTGTAAGCACAAGCTGAAGCCAAAGCCTGAACCCATGCACAACCTTAGGCTTAAAAGATCGCGGAGCTCTGGTGACCTCATCTGAGGAGAACTGAAACGTCTCCGAGTAGCGGCCGGTCTTGGGGGTTGCGATCCTCAGAAGAATCTTACCAGCCTTTTTATCTGAAAGGTTCCGTTGAGTGAAACAAATGAAAGGCTGTCAAAAACTGGGATAAGTTGACCTTGACTGGACCTCTTATTGTGGTGTTCCATTTCTGCCCTCAAGTGAGCTATTATTACAACTAAGCTAAACCAGTAGGTGAGAAATTTGAAATCAGTTCTTTCCTCGAGCTATGAGCAATCGCCAGTTGAAAGGGGTGGACCGGGTCTCCAAAAGAAAGATGTGTGTGAGGAAAACAGCAGAACATTATTCACAGCTCACGCCAAATGGGGAAGGGGGGGGTGCCGGCTATCACAAAGAATCGTAAAACCTTCTACTGCTACATAGATATCCGTCGGGGGTGAATGGTGTGATCTGTGAATCTCCGAGAGACCAAGATCGTCAGTTCTTCAATTCGCCAGTTGAGAGGGTTCGACTTGAAATCAGTGGCAGCCAGTACATATTCCTTGTTATAGCGCAAGTCGTGAATCTGCTGCTGTTAGCGGGTTCTCCGATTCTTCGATTCCCGCAGCACACAGCGCAGCGCAAACAATGTCTGATTGGCGCTTACAACCCTTTACCAAATCCCTGATTGTCCGATTTTGCAGAAGGAACGGTCCCACCCGATTCCGCTGCTCTTCAACAACCATCCACTAGTGATCAATCACGACTGCGAGTACAAGTGAGCTGCTAACTTTCCCATGTGGGAGATTGTGGATCCCAAGAAATGTCAATTTCAGGCTTCAAATGCACTCCAAACCTTATCCGTACGGTGATGCCGCCTATACAACCATCGAACATCACACAGTACCACATTGTATTGACGGATTCTGCGCATGCAATGGTCAGTTGGTCCACTTTTATTGGGGATGATTTAAGAGAGATTGATTTGAGAGGTACAGCCTAGCCTCGTGATCTCGTATGTATGTCCAGCTACTACACGAGCGATGTATGTTGTCCTCCAGCGAGAATCACTTGTTCTGTTTTACGATCGATTTTAGATGGATGGGAAGACAAGATTAGCAGCTGCTCCTGCCCGGCGCCCGTTCATCTTGTCCCATCCTCCCTAAGTGCTAACTCTGGAGAAAGATAAAGGAAAAGGTTAAAGTTCTAGCGTTGCTGACCCCCGATCGGAATACGCCATGAAGTCTACTATTAATCGGCACTGTATTGACATTTGAATGTCATTCGACTATGCAGTGACATATGGGGAGGGGGGAGGTGGGGGAGGAAGCATGGAGCGTGACTGTTGGTTTTGAAATCAAATTCTATAGAAAAGCTTCGAGGTGGGGGCTGGGGGGGAAGGGTGTGGAGGACCCATCCCAATTCATTGTATGGTTTGGAGTCGTACCGAGACATACTCCGTAAGGTGGTCGCAAAACATTGAAATGGACGCGGCGAGCTGTTCAGCCCTGAGAAGGGAGGGAGTTTGATTCTCTCAGCGGGTTTCTATCCGCCATTCGACTCTCAGATAATGGGGTACCCAGCAGAATCTGTCGCGCGTCAAGAAGGGCAAGGTTAGCGGACGTTGCAGCGCATACTGAAGTGATTTCGCGTCATGCTGAGCAGAATACGCCATTGGGTGTGCGTTATATGGCGCAATCCCATTGGCATTGGAGCGCACAGGCCGTAATTACCACATCCTGCTGTGGCCAGACAACTCGTCCACGCAACACATTCTGTTCGTACAAGGGCAGCAGTCAAAGGCACTGCGAGCTGTCCCGCCTCTTTTAAAGGCACTCAAGTCGAATGAATCGATGGTTTATTGTCCATACATTAGCAATGGGTGCATATGAAAACGCTGGGGGGAGAAAAAAGGCAAAAAGCAACAGCATGGAAAAACACTGAAATTTCCTCAAAACACCCGGCCGTTCGACGAGAGAGACACCGCGCTGCGAGAAAGGAAAAACCGGAACAGTACATCGTACGCGCAAGCTTTGTCGCGACCGTGTCGCGCCTTAGTGATTGGAGCCCACCATCGCACTCTGGGAGAACTCTGCTGCTCCTTCCCATCCTGACCTCGCTCCAATCGCGGACTTAGCGAGATTTTCCGGAAGTTAAAATAGCAGATCGATCAAATACAGAAGTCTAGTAGTTGAGTGATACGGACGAGTTGTTCGACGGCAGCAGGGTGGAGCGATTGCTGCCAGTGCGCTCTAATGCCAAATGGGATCGCGCCATATGACCGCATCCCTGCGCCATTTACGTCCTACATCGCACATCGCCAGCTACGACTCGTCCGCTAACCGTTCCTTCTCACTGCGCGACAGGCTCTCTGTCTTACTCCCCATTTTGAAAGGCTCACAAACCGCAGGCAAGAGAATCGTGTGAACGCTTCCTTACCCCTATGGGATAATCACTTATGTGGCACTCCCGTGACACGGAAACCAACCGACAAATGCGCTTGGAGCGCTTACCAGGAAGGTCTTTCAGGGCGTGACAAGCTTTTTGAAAACGGTCTTTTGCATGATATAGGGGCAGATGCGGGAACCACAGAACCATGTTCAATTTTTCCTGAACGGCCCTCTGAATACCAGAAAAGGGGTCCCTAGTTCGATTCCTCTTGGTGACAAATTTTTGCATTTCGAGTTGACGTTCCAAAATTCGCGCAAAATGGAGTTCTGATTGTTCTGGTTGGTTCTAACTCCATTTTGCGCGAATTTTGGCACGTCAACTCGAAATGCAAAAATTTGTTACCACGAGGAATCGAACTAGGGACCTCCTTTTCTGGTATTCAGAGGGCCGTTCAGGAAAAATTGAACATGGTTCTGTGGTCCCGCATCTGCCCCTATATCATGCAAAAGACCGTTTTCAAAAAGCTCGTCACGCCCTGAAAGACCTTTAGCACAGCCGATTAGGAAGGTGAGTGAGCCCTCAACCTAAGCGTTTTCGACGGATTCTTTTCCTTTTTTCTTTACTGCCGGCCCACTTCGCACCAATACATTCGCATTCGTGTGCAAGAGCCACACCAATGTGATCCTGGGGCATGCCTTTAAGGTGAAAACTTATACAATGGAGCGGTACATTTTTCAGAGGGAGCCGTTGAGTTGCCGTCATCACTGATGGCCACTGAAGTCTATGGAGGAGTGGAAATCACATGGAAGCACAATCCTAAGCCGGAGCGGGTTTATACCTTCTATATAACTCTTCATGAACGGTGAGTTGTCAACCTGTAGGTTTGGTTCTGCCCCTTCTGAATGTCCGAAGTCCACTAGTTCCAGATTTCGCCCGCCAATAGAGTTCAAAGATCCGAATGCGTTTCGATATCGAATCGCCGATGATGGAGAACGAGAGCTGAGCGGAACGAAGGTACCGTGACAGCTGTCTTTCACTAATAACCCTCATCAAAATCCCGTGCTTCCTCGTTGTAGGGCCAAGTGAATTACACGTATACGTTTGACTACGATCTGCAACGACTTGAAGAATACAAAGTGACACTGTTCGCCGAGGATGACCACTACTGTCACACAGACGACGCCACCACCTACTTCAACACCTCGGCCATCGAACCGATGTTACCACCTCGTGCAATCACGAGAACCTCATCTTCATCGTTGGAGCGCATCTCAGAAACACAATCCATTCCTCAAAAGTTCAACACTACCGCCGCTGGTAAGTCTAGCAATGTTCAGTCAAATCATTCCACTTTAATTCCAAGACGCTGTAAAGGTAAAGCTGCAGAAGCGAATCAAAAAAAATCAGGAAAAATGACCTAAAGTCCTTAAAAAGTACCCTTCTCTGCTGGTTTCTACCTTGGGCGAAACTCACCTGTGCTGAGGATCTGCTCCAAATCTCTCACAAAAATGCTGAAGTCCGACGGCGAGGGATTAGCAGTTAGAGCAGTTAATGGAAGGGCAGGCAGAGGCATGAATGCGTTCAGAGGGACTGGGGTAAAGTTCTCCTATTTCGTCACGGGCGTCACTCCACTCTACCGCAAAAACGCCACCGCTCGAACCCCCAAGCAGGGTCAGTCCTATCCATTGTTACTTTTTGAAAATTTTTTACGACCCCCCTCCCACAGGTGGATTTGATAGACCAAATTTCCCACTCTTGCAACAATCATCTCTGTATCCAATCACCCCCACTCAAACCGCTCGCGAAACCCGCCCACTTTCCCTCTAAACATTGCGTCGAGCGGGAAATAATATTACGCGTGACTGAAACGGCTAATTTTTCCTGCGATTCTCACTCACCAAGTTACTACATAAACTCAGTTTCACTCTCAATTCACATGTTTGATTTTCAAAGCGACTGAACGGAGTACGACCCCTCCTCATAATTCAACAGCTGGTACGGACCCCTCTGACACTGCCCCAAGACGACCATCTGTTGTTCCTAGTACAAGTAGGGGTTGACCTGACCAAAATCCTGTCCATTATAATGGAGGTATGACGGAAGGCAAGAGAATGCGCAAACATGGCTATGTGGAATCTCACGTGAAGGCATTGTGTTTTCGTTTTTGGAAGCGCAGTTCATTGGCGCCCCCCGCATGCTTGTATTGTACTTTCATGGATAATCGGCAGCTTCGACCTTCGATTATTTATTGGAAGCTTCAAGGTGGCCTGATGAGAACTAAGGACGTTTGCATAGCAGCGAGAAGTCCGAGGGGGAGAATGGGATTAAATTAAGTAGATGACTATGTTGGCGGCGTTCGACAGCGCGGGCTCGTCATATACCTCCTTTTATTACCTTTTTGCTTTATCATCTTCGATTTAACGTCGAGAACATGATGTCGGCTTAAGGAGGAGCGACGTTTAAAAGAACAAAATAAGAAAATGGAACGATGACCCGATATGGTAATTGCGTTACATCGTCAAACATTAAGACTTGTCCGAACGCTACCCGGGATTAGCTAGCAGAGTGAACTACGATGGGAGCGAAGTTATACGAATCCGAGCATAAAGGATAAAGGATAAAGCATTTGCCGTTGATCAATCCCTTTTTGGGATGCGGCACGCATTCTACTTCCATTTGTACATTCGTAGTGGCGTTTGAATGCGATGTGGCCTATACAATGACTTGCGGGGGCCAGCCGATGTTCAAGTCAGTGTTTTTATCCTCCCAGACAAGTCTGGTACCAATTAACCGACCCCGGAGGGATGGAAGGCTTGGTTGGCCCGGGCGACTCACGACCCAGGATTTGATCCCCGGACCGCTCGCGTGGTAAGCGCGCCACTTGCACTACACTTCCGCCTTCCTTTCGCAGTTAATTCGACCTTATTCAGTATTCCAAGTTATGGGCCCTTCTTTTGGCGTTTCGGAGACCACTATAGAACCCCTCGAGGACGACTCTTTTCCCTTTTACCTCATCTGCACTCAGTCGTCAGCTACGAGCGCTATTATACTCCAGTTTTAGCTCGGGGCTTGCCTTTCACGATAGCTGCAAGGGATGGTCGCAGGTTCCTAACGCCCTTGCGATGCGCATTCCAGCTGCTATCTGAGCACAACCGCTACGTTTTACGAGCAGGACTAATGCCACGTTCGGGAATGTATCACTCCAGTGGTCTTGGGAAAGGACTGGATTCAACGCCGCGTCGGACTTCACTTAGGGAAGGTGGGACCAATGAGAGAGAGTGGTATCGTCATTCTGCGTACCTGTTCCCTTATTGCGAATTTCCCGCGAAGCGTTATAGAAAGGTTCATGGGATCAAATAAGTACCGAAACGACCTCGGAAACCTAAAAAAAACTTACCTATTTTAGGTGCTTCAAACTCTACCGACCCATCACTCACCTCAACTGTCGGTGATTCGGTTGAAATCGAGAAGACCTCGCCTACTTTCAGCAAATTCCCTGCAATTTTCAACGATGTTAGTTTGGGCTTTTTTCTTTTTTTGTGCAAAAAAACCTAATCTCACCTTTCGCTGAAGATCGATCCGTCAACGTTCATCGCGCTTTTGCTAGTACTTACCATGTTGAGTCCACTGTGCACAATTTGTGTGTACTGTATGTACCGGAAGCGACAAAGTGCCAAAAAGAGGAAGATGCCACGTTTTGGGCCGTGGACGTTATCCCATTCGAGGTTAGTTCTATTTATAAAAACCTTCTTGTAACTATCGAGAAATATCCAAGCTTAAGCAGTCCTTTCAGGCATTCCATCCTTGAAACGAACATTCTCTATCGCCAACCAATCGAATTCCGAACTCCACAAACCGAAGAGGAATGGCTCATTCCTAGTGATGATGTCAGCGTGGGCGGCGTGATTGGTAAGCACTGTTATGGGTTGCTAGCCGGTTCGGCATCATAGCTTTGCCTCGCACGGCAAGATAATCGCATAAGGTAACTTGGTACCACACCACAACATCGAATTTGTGGGGTCACAGCGGTCGATAATGAAGTTGTGGATGCCGAATTGACTAAAAATGAAAAAAGAAGCAAAGAAAACCGTCGATGAAGCCCTAAACAAGGATTCCCTCGAAATAAGGAAGGGGCGGGGCCGGACGAGTTGTGAACTTGCCTGCTGGCTCAACTAACCGCGCGTATTTGAATTAGCCGCTACGCCGTAATCCACGTTGCGTGTCATGGGGTGTGCGCTACGTAACTCGTCCAAATGCTAAGATTAGTCTCAAATGCTGACTTTGTAAGACCCTAGTCGCTTCATTGTCGCGAATCCTTCGAGCCGCAACAACGGCACAAGTGTGATACCCGTGGGCCCTCTATCCCACCCACTGAATAAATTCTTCGACACGACTTCTGCTGGAGATGTTGTTTTAAGATGGATGTCAGACTTGGCGATTGTGCGGACAGCGGCAGCGACTGGCGCTGGCTCCGCCCACGGTCGATACGGTCTGCCGGCAGGGGCCGGGGGTGGGAAAGGGTATCGAGAGACTTACCTAAGGCTGATGGATGAGGGTTGTGAAATTTTCATGAATTAAACAACGAACGGTTAACCTTGGTCTGTTGTATGGATGCTGGGAGGCTGGGAACCTCGATTAATTTACCTGCATTGATCTTCCATCTTCACGTCCTGTAAATTAAAGGAGCTTGGGTAGAGGAAGTAATTCTAAGTGGCTCTCAAGGCAGCGTTCAGAGTTGGCGATTTGGCGACCGTTCATACGATTAGGCGACCGGGCTTCAGTGTATGTGAAAAAGGATACGTATCGATTAGGCGAGTAGGCGATTAGGCGAGTAGGCGATTAGGCGATCGCTCAATGGGCGGAGCAACAAATCAATACGTATCCTTCTCTTATCGCCTACTCGCCTACTCGCCTAATCGCCTAATCGCCTAATCGACACGTACACTTTTTTAAACATCGCCTGATCGCCTAATCTCCTATTCGCATGTTCTATCGTCAGCTCTGAAGTATGCCTAACGATAAGAATGATCAGTTCTTCAGCTGTCCAGCTTTGAAGATTCTGATATTTTTCCCATAATTCTTCCGTGTTCTCGTTCGTTCCCTCTGTCTTGTTCCACGTGGACTTTTTTCTCATTTTCTACATCTCCAATTAAAGTAATGTTTAGGAGAGGGTGCATTTGGCCTGGTCTGTAAAGGCACGATGAGTGGTCCGAAAGGAATGGCCGTTCGGGTGGCGATTAAACAGCTGAAAACGAATGCCATCGATGAAGAACGCGAGGAATTCCTACGCGAAATGGATATCATGAAACAGGTTGGTCTACCAACGCAGTTTACTGGTTACCTATTTGTTTGGGCCTTGCGATCGCGGCCAGGGTGGGCCACTGTCAAGGATTCAGGGTGTGGCAATTTTCCAGTAGATTTTTCGAGAAACGCTCAGGATTTGGCAGAAAATTAACATTTTCCATTGAGTTGGTCTAGCTCTCATTTTGAGGAAAGGGAGGGTGTACATTTCCCCCGGTGGATGAATAGGGACTTCGTGGCAGAGGTACGCCGTGAGACCCAAGCTGTGATAGGCTATGGGACATTCTGGCCTCGACATAGTATTGCCCCTCTAAGGGAAAGGGGGCATTTCCAGCAAAATTTGCCGCTCATATCGTTAGTGGGGGCATATAAGTGACTGAGCTATTCGTAGAACTTCGCACTAAGCCTCACTAATTGGAAGAGATTCCGACAAGAACGAGGACGACCTTTGCTCCTGGCGTTCTCTTCCGCTTTCCCCTGGAGCATAGTCCTAATGTCGCCTTACAACGTTTTTGGAACCCTGTTGTGAATGTATTTTCTAAGGCCACGGGTGTTCGAAATTACCACTTTGTCACCCTCGCTGCTCATTTCAGGTTGGTCGTCACCCAAACATCGTGACGATGTATGGGCTCTGTGAAGAGCCGGATTTTCAGTGTATGGTGATGGAATATGTGCCTTTTGGCGATCTCAAGCACTATTTGCAAAATCTGCGCAAGCAGGTGAGCTCTGTGCTCTCTCGAATTTCAGTTCGTTTCTTTATATTATAGTTTGGAACCAACTCTACCTGCTTCAAGTGTAGGTAATTGCGGAGTTGTTGCAGCATTGTTCGGGCCAATCCAAGCCTTCCAACCCTACGAAGTCCGACTTCCAGATTGTCTAAGGAGAAATGAATACACTGAAGATCGAGGCTGGCCCCATCAAGTCATGTTTCTAGGCCATGGCATTCAAAATGCCACTCTCCAAAAAATGAGATTCTGAAATGAAAGTAGAAGGCGTGGCGCATCCCAAAATGGATTGACAACCGCACCCTTTACCATTATTATGATGACTTTGTAAAATAAGTCAACTGCATTCGCATCCTTGAAAGAATTTTCCTAAACACCGAGCGCATAATTGCTTTCTGAGAGCTCTTACACTTATGGTTAGTGCCTTGAATGATTCAGGTTTCATTGAATGACGATTATCTCCTTCCCTATCCCCTTACCTATTCCCTCTACTTCTAGTACCGGGAACATGTATCCAAACAAGATTACATATGCGCAAGTTTTCCACTGCTCAACCTAACCTACTTTATGACCCCATATGCCCATCAAATACACACGGCACATGGAAATCTGCGAATACTCCCTCCGGACTATGTGGCTTCCTACACTGAACCGAACCGTCTCACCTAGCTCATCCAACCAACTGACCCATGGGCTTCTGCTTCCAGCAAGCGCCCTTTCGCTCCGCCTCCATGTCCAGGTGTAGGCGATATTTCACCGATCACAGTTGCGTGTACATTTGTGCAACGAGACGGATGTGCGGACTATAAAACATGGGGGACGCCACGGGAAGGCTGGGAAAACGCGCGTCTGTCTGATGATAAGGCAACACTTGTTCATTAGCCATGTCACAACTCACCAACGAGATCGCCTGAAGCCGATCGAACCTACGTGACAGAAATGTATATTGATTGATCGACAATGCTGTGATCGGGTGCCGAGCACGTCTGCTTCAAAAAATCAAACGAATCGCCGCACAGGGGTAGCTTATCACTCTAGTAAGGTAATTCTGCATGTATAACTCCCGAATGGGGGTGGCTTGGGGGGGGGGAGGGAGGGTGAGGGGATCTGTCACAGTATGGACCCCTCTTGAAGATGTATTCCACGGCTAATTAATGTCAGCTTGAGCTGATGCGATAAGCTTAACAAGCTGTAAGAAGAAGCACTAAGCCCATCAGCAGATCAGGGAATTACCTGGGAACTCCTCAATGTCGGGCTTCTGAAGTTACAACTGACGAGGCCGGAAAAGCCATCTAAGGGAAAAAGAAACGATATTCAAAATTCGTTAGCGTCATTTACTAAGTTGCTAGGGGATTTTACAGATTTTGTTTGTTTTTATATTTTGCAGTAACGCCATGGAAAAAAGTATACATATCTTCTAAAAACTTGATCAATTCCCCCTTTAGTGGAGACTGCTTTCCTTTGGTTTCTGGACCATTGTAAATTTTGTCTCTGGTGAACTTTAGCTAAGAATAGTGACGGAGAACTCACCAGTCCGCAATCCCAGAAGAAGTGTAAAGCTGGTGCGAGGTCTCTAATGGATTAAATACGCAGGCACTATAGCAAAATAGGGGGCATTGTGGTGACAATGCATTCTGAACCGCGTGAAATGCCTCCATTTCGTTGAAAATAGGACTAAGACTTAGGCCGGAAGGAGAGTCTCATGGATGTATGAGCAGTTTTCATTACGTCAGAGTTCCAGCTAACTCTTAGGCTCAGTCCTAGAGGATGCCCTTGGACCTTGCGATAGCGCCAAAATGCAACTAGCCCAATCACGCTTACTTGATTAAGCAAAGTTAGCAATGTTGCCTCTCGTGGGAAATAGGGAAATCGAAGG